AAATTGAAATATATATTAAATTGAAACATGGAAAAGAAATATCTATGAAAAATAGTTACAGAGTTAAAAGTTGATACATATTTTTTCATGATACGAAAATAAAGAATAAAACTTGATATATTTTGCACAAAATAAAGCCTAAGCAAAATAAGAAATTAAAATTTTTAATTAACACTTTAGTTATGCCTTTAAAGCATTGCATTAATTGCAATTTTTTTTAAAAAATAAATATAAAATTAATAGGTAAGTAAATTATACTATATCTTTGAATAATGTATTTATTTATAAAGAAACTTATGTGAAAATTTATACTCTGAGAAAAAAAGTATGGTCAAAATTACCAGAATATAGTAAAATTTACCGTGTTTCTGGCTCCATGAGAACACCAAACTGCTTTGTAATTTTCACGGAAACGCTTGGTGATGATTTAGGTAAAATTAACAATAAAATTTGAAAAATATATAATAAAATGTGGTAAAATTTGGTAATTTTATCATGATACCTCAGAGCAGGGCATAAAAACCACTTATTTGGCTAAATTTACTTTTCAATTTGTATCTTTTTACTAAATGTGTGGTAATAAAAACTTTAACTATGTAAATCAAAATTTCCAGTAAACCGATACCATATGAACGGAAAAATTATCTAAGGAATGGTTTAAATACCGTGTACTTTGGTTTTTATTACCGAAATGATGGTTTTTTTTGTACCAGAAATTGGATTGTTTATAAGCCCATCTAACTTTCTAATTAAAAAAACACTAATGGATTTATGTTGAATATACTATTTCAAAAATCAAATAAAATTAAGGAAGGAGATTCACTATAATTTAATATGTTCTTGTTAAATTATGTATAATATATAAAAATAGGAAATAATTTGAATATTTTTCATTTGAAATATTTTAACATTACATGAACACCTCTGTACTATGCGTTTATTGTTCATACGTTGTTTGTTAAATTTCCTTCTTATAAGCAAAACTGCTTCATACCAATATTAATCGCTTACTAATTACTTATTTTACTATTTATTTTAAAGAAATAGATAAATAAGTTTCGAGCTTATTTGTGTTTTTTATTCCTATATTTAAAAGAGGTTTTGAAACTTTTATTACCTGTTCTTCACGAGCCAATAGTCTTGGCCATCTTCTGTTCCGTAACCGATTGCCAGAACACCGTGATCCAATTGAGAAGTGCTGCAGCTGGATTCATCGTAAATTCCATCTCTGGAACACAAATTAAAATTAATCACTGAATTATTTAACTATTCAACAATGTAATTTCTGAAATTATTTATAAAATTGCATAAATTAGCAGTAACCTAACACTGATACAAACTTAAACATATATCCAATTAATATCAAGAATTAACTGTTCTATTTATACAATTTAAATGTAGTTTGTATTTATTGTGTGAGCCCATGGTTAAGATTTTGCACGACGCATAGATCATTTAGAAATAAAAATATTATGCTTTTTTGTATCAAAGCAATGACAAATTTTAAATTAAAAAATGTAGTATGTGTCTCAAATTGCAATTCTATATTTTCATACACTCTATTACATGCCTAAATTTATCAATTAATTTTTTATTACATTTTATTCGCTAAAAAATAATCCAAAACATATAGTATAATTGTATTTTAAAAATTTACTTTTATTTGCTCTACAATATGAAATTTCACTTGAAAAACTAATATTTCCCAAGTACAATTTTTTAAAAAAAAGACTAAAGACTTTTTTAAAAGAGCTTTTTTGTAAGTCATAATATTTATTTTTTTAAGGAAAGTAATTTCTAAGTGAAATTATGAATATTTTTAAACTTTCTCTGAAAACTAGTTTGCTCATATTACAAGTGAATAAATATTTTGAACTATTTGATATTGACTGTTTGCAAAGATTTTAAAATTACGTAAAGAAGACAATAAATTCCTTCGACGAAAAAATAAATAAACAGATATAAAAATTAAATAGATTATTTTTTTAGTACTTAAATTATTCTTCGTTTAAAATCTAGAAGGATTCAAGTCAGCAATTTTAAACTATTCCTTACTCTTTTGTTCAATAGAGTAATATGAAAAATAAAAATTAATTTAAAATAATAAAATTTATTCTATACGTACTGATAGAGCTGGAAGCTAAAGTTGCTTGCATCAATAGCTACAGAAACAGGTCCTACGGTGGCAACAGCTGTTTTAAGAGCGTTCTCATCTCCGGTAGGAATGTCAACATATCCAGTAACAGTTGCTCCAACATTGGCTTTATTGAAAAGACATTTTGGACCATCCTAAAATAAATAAATTTATAAATGCCTAAATCACATTTTTTAACATTATTTTAAAAATTTATAATAGCTGTCCTTGCATCAACCGAAAATTTAAAAAAAGAACCTCTCTAAATATTACTTTAATTAGAAAAAGTCCAAAAATTTGAAAGGCAATACAGCGTTTTGTCCAAGAAGAAATAAAATAATAAAAAATGAATTTATGAAAAATATATTTTTTGAAATATGTTTACTAAAATATTTTCGAAATGCAAATTAATTTATTTTATAACATTATGAATTTTGTTTAGGACATTGTAAAAATCTCCTTTAAATTGAATTCAAAACGTCTACATTCAAATCACACACTTCATTCTTTCTAAAATAAATGAAATATAAAGAGAAAAAAAATCTATGAAATTAACTCACAAGGAAAATGTAACTCCTATGAACCTATGATATTTTTTAGAACAGATACTACCTTGTTTTAAATGGCATAAAATCGTAAAATCCATTTTTACCGTAAAATGTATCATAATTTTTATCGTAGTAAGTTTTTAGTTAGAGTAATTCCATGAATTACCGTAAAAATTAAGATATATAAAATTTTTTGTTCCATAACATGTGCAAAAGGGGATTTTATGGTAAAAAAAAATACCGGCACCCTGAGTGCTGATACTTTTTATCGTAATTCGTTAAGTTAAATAGTGGGCTCTAGCAAATATAAACATTTACAATTAGTGCTTAATCTTTTTCTTTCTTCTTTTTTTTTTTGCTTATGACATTGCACATTGACTATAGTTTCAACAGTTTCAAACTAATACCATTTAGGTGCTTTTTTCTTACAAATTGAAGAGAAGTTTTACCTCAGCTGTGTATGGGTAGGATGCTTCAGTGTCAATTCCTTTGTTCTGCTTGATGTATTGGAAAGCTGAATCCATAAGACCTCCTTCACAGCCCATGTTACCTTAAAAAAAATATGGCAAACCATTAATTTAAATCTTCTGATCAAAATGAATTTATAGCCATGTTATATTAACTACGTATATATTTATTAATTAAAAAATTACCAAATTTGTGGTATAATTTTTATTATATTTAAACAAATAAAAAAAATTTACAAATTTTATTTCACTTACCTTCTGGTTGAGAGCAATCTACGAGGTTCTGTTCACTGAGGGAAACCAAATTTCCGGTTTTCTTTTTGTGCTGCCCTTCAAGAGAACCGGTGGTAGAGAAAGCCCAGCAAGAGCCACATTGTTGCTAATTAAATAAAAATCTCTAAATTAGTAATTCTTGCGTTAAATATGATGATAGTTTCTTGTTTTAGCTACCACTTTCCATTTAGTAAATAATGATAAAGTTAATTTCAAAACTTAATTTTATAAGTTCCAAGAAACTGCAAGTTTTGTTGTAAGAATGCAACATTTTGTTTTAATTAAAATTAGGCAAAGCGAAACACCTGGAAAAAAAATTTAGAAAAGATATAATTTTATACCTGGTTTTTGATTGGGGTGACCAGTCCTTGTTTCCTCCAATCGACAGTGTCGGGAATGTGAACGTTAGAGGGTTCTACCCAGGCACTTCCTTCACCGCTACGGATACCGCTGCTTTTAAATCCGTTAAACTGCC